CAGAATTCCATGAAAATTAAGAAGTTCTCAAAATTTCTCAGAAGTTTTGGCAGTGTAAAAAAGTTGATCAAATGATAAATTTTAACTTCAATTGCCCCATCATTTTTTCTATTGTTGGTGGCCTGGGGGTTTGGGATTCTCCATGTATATATTGTAGCCTCCAGTAAGAATAAGATGATGTTGGATCTTTGAGGCTTTAGCAACTGCAGAAATGTCTTAGGCACTACTGTACTACTGATGTTGTTACATGGTTCTTTATAAATACTAATTAATTTTTAACATAATCATCCATTATTCTCTAAACTTCACCAGTTGGTTTATTTCAAAATACTTGCAATTCAACCTCAACAACTGCTTTGAAACCCTTAACTTGAAATCTGTAGCATCATACTCAATTCGATATTTTGTAAGAAATTCATGAACTTATTTATGTATATTTGTTTTAGTCAATCAAACAATCCTGGTGGCTGATACAGTTTCTCTCTTTTGTGACCAAGTATCAAATAGACGCGCTCAACCTGTACATTTTATACAATCTTTTGTTCAACTTTTCATTTTTTCCCTAAACTTACATAAAATATATTTGAGACTTGACAAATTTAGTAAAATTGGATTTTTCTTCTTCTTTCTTTTAATGTGCATTTGGTTAAAGGTATGGGAAATTAGATTCCGATATGAAATTCTTCACAAGATAATACAAGTGTTAAATAAACTTCCATATGTACTTGTTTCTTTTTAGTTTGCTTCACGCTGGTAGATATTGACATTGTAATTTTGACTAACTAATATTTGTATTTACAACTGAAAAAGCATATCATATCTTCGAAGTTTCACTCCTATAAATAAAATGAAAACACGTAGACATGTTAGTTTTACACGAGTGATTCGAAAGTGACGGATTTTAGTGATACATGTTTGTTTAATAGCTGTAATTTTCACACTTTGGACCGTCTTTTTTGACAATGTGGCACTCCCTAACGTCACAAATAATTTAGTATAACATTCTTTTTGTTTTAATTGTTAACCTAGCTAGTAAGGCCACGTAACCCAAAACCAACATGCCTCATCCCGTATGATTTTTGTCTTTCTAATTACAAGAAACATTTCTACTACTATAGTTTTAGACCAATATTAGTTAAAATCAACCAGCTTAATATAATGTAAAGATGTTTAGGAATTGTCAGCCCACAAAGCTTAAATTCGACAAACATTACCCTAATCCCTTCTTTTTCTATTTTGTAACATGACAAAGTAATAATAATGGATATGGCACTATTATTTTTAAATATTTTATTTATTTTTGTTAAAAGAAATGGATATGACGCTTTTCTTTTGTTAATTTCTCAATATCATGATTGATTAAACATTGTAAAAAAATAAAAAGTATATAGTGACAAATTTAATGTTTAAAAAATACTTTGCTTAAACTGTCTATGTAAAATATGTTTGTTTCTTCAATATCGTGATCAATTAACAGTTGATTTATGTCAAAATACTTGCAATCAACATCAACAATTATTTCAAAACACGTATAATTAAAAATGTAGGCATCATACTCAAGAATTTTTTAACTAATTATAATTTAAAATTATTATCATAAATATCAACAAAATAATATAACAAGGTGTTACTGATACTACTTATTAATCAGATTTTCAAATAAAATTATCTTTATAATAATTATTAAATTTGATTTTAAGTAAAAAGATGAATAGGTAAATAAAAATATTAGCATAATTGTTTTAGTGATTATAATAAAACAAAAAAGTTATCATAACATTCCATAGTGATACCCTAGAAATTTCAAGAAATTATTATTTTATGCCGTGCATATTTATAAATATAATTTATATATAAATGGTAATATTTCAAATTTTTGACAAATTTATTCACCGATTAATTTTATTCATATTTTTCAAACCTGATTTATTTAGAGCTAGAAAACTAAGAAAAAGTTAAAAAATTCTAGTCTAGCCTTGTCAAAATACGAATTAGGTCATATCAACCCTATCAAAATTATAATAATTGATAAATTATCATGATCTTACATATATAATAAATACGGGATTACAATTCTTTTTACTAAAAAAAAACGTATTTTAAAAAAATAAAACAATGTAATAATTATTTAAAGAAGAACATTTTTTACCCAAAGTCGATACATCTTATATCAAATTGTGACACATACCCTCTCTTTCCTCGAAACGGTAGAAAGATTCTTTCCACATTTTAACGGAAGGTTCTTTGACCTTATTTCTTTAATTACTCTCTGTCATTAATTATGTATTTACTTTATGTTGATATATTTATTAAAAATAAATAATTGATATAGTAAATTTATTATTTTGTTTTATTTATTATAAAATAAATAATTTAAAATATTAATATTTTTAAAAAATAACGATAAAAAATATGAATAATTAATCAGAAAGACATACGGAATATTTTTCATTTAAAACGTTGTCCAATAACTATGCTTTTAGAAGGTTCCAACTTCCAATACGTACTCATTGATTATTTTCAAGAGTCATCTTCTATCATTCGATCGGGGCACCTCAACCTTTTTATGGGCTTGTTGAGGTTGACGGTACTCAACAATTTCATTTTTAATATCTGTTTCAATAATATACTAGCTTTTAATAATTAAATTCATAATCTTAAATATAATAGATTGATATCAATAAAAAAATTATATTCAAACTAATTAAAAAAAAAATTCAAAAATTAGCTCACGGAATGTGTTTTAAAGAAAAACAAAGTAATAGTGTATAATTGCTACAATGAAGAATGTGTAGTTGTGGTAACTACTAAATTAGCCAAACAAGATTTCTTCCAGAATATACGTTCAACAAGACCATGTCACTCAGTAAATAATTACTTCCTCCGTCTCAATTCTAAAATAATCTGACATGATAAATAATTTTAAAAAAACTATTAAAACTTATTGTGTAACTATAAATTATTTAATTGGAATAAAAGAAAAATATATTAAAAGTTTTAGTTATTATCAAATATAAAAATGTATTTCTTTTATAGCTGAACTAAAAAGAAAAAATGCGTCAAATACATTAGGATAGAGAAAATACGTACAAACAGTTAATAAACATTTATTTTTATTAATAGTGTAACGAAAATGATAAAGCAGTATGCTATAAAATATTAATAGTGTAACGAAAATGTGTACATTAGTTAATTAGTGTACATAGCTTTTAACTCTTTCCATGAAATGCTTCGTGGCCAAGGAAGTACTCTGTTAGACCCGCAATCTACTTGATCTAACTACGTGCAGACATGCCAAGGATTTGGGCATTGGTCTTGGCATGGATGATGGCAAAACAGTGCAACACAAGTTCAAGGTGCTTGGGTGTTGGCAAGGCAGCTTGAACGTGCATGGTTTACGTGCGGGCTAAGGGCGTTGGCAAGACATCATGTTGAC